CTAAATATTGCGTAAATCATTTTGATGAGTCATTAATTAGTGTAACGGTGTAAAAAGCTTAAAGCATCTATCTCTTCATTGTTATGCAAATATTAGAACATATGCAATCGCAACTTAAGAATGTTATAGTTCCATTTCTCACATGTCTAGAACTCGATGAATAGGATAAAAAAATCAAAGTAATAAAGTCTTTTGATGTATAGTACTGTATCCGTGTTTAATAGATTTTGAATTAATGCTTAACGGCTGTTCACTATTTATTTAAGGATTGGATGCGCTTAACCGCATAAAAATTATTCCATAGTTCCGGACCGAATTATGTTGGTCATGGGCCAAAATTATCTTAATGCCAGCTGAATTAAATGGTTAACACGGTTAAACTGTTAAATAATTGGAAAAATTTTAGGTGATGCAGATCTATATATTTATTTAACGATGCCGCTCACTTCATCGACAGCAATTCATCAAAATTTCATTTAGCTGACATCAGATCACATAAGATTAGGGTTAGCATTTTATTAGTTACAGTGTTGTTTGAATGTGATTGGACCTAGTTATAAATATATACCGAGTATTCGGCAGATTTTAATACTATTAAGATGTCTTTTTGGTCTCTGACCAGCCTACATTGGTCATCAGTGATAATGATGGCTTATAAAAAAAGCGATGAAATGTGATATGCAGACGCGTCTTTTAGTAAACCAAGTGCAAATGATCTTGTTAGTCAGCTTAATATACCGAATTGATATATGCCGAACAAACCATGGTTCTAATAGATTCAGAGTCTGCTGTAGTCATACTTGTTGGTAGTACAATATGCATAGCTGTCAGCAGCTTTGAAGAATATCTGATATGTAACCCTACGTACGTACGTTGAATCAGGTAAGAATTTAGACTTACATGTTTTCCTTGACTTCACTCATATATATATAAACTAGAGAAACTTAAAAACTGTAAGTATTGGAACCATCATTTATCCGTATAAAAATTTTTCATAGTGCTAGGCAAACTATTTTAATCATGGGCAAGATTATCTTACTGCTGACTAAATTAAATGGTTAATACTGTTAGACGATTAAGAAGATATTAGGCAGTTCCAATTCCTAACTATAAACCACCACTACACTAAAAAAAATTTATAAGTAAATCGCAAGATTACATCATATGTCTTTTATTAGTTTCAATGTATTAACTAATAATAATAAATGGATAGAAGTGATACAATAAGTGAAGCAATTTGTAAAATTGAAACATTTGGAAGTATGAACCGATTTTGTTCTATAGAGTTTAATATAAAAAAGAACGTCTACTGGTCTATACAACGTTCTATACATGAAATCCCGCGGTTATACGGTTGGTTTTAATTTTTTAAGTTTTATTAAAATAAATGTGTGATTGTCGAATATATATTTCCAATACGTAATTCGTACGCACATAAGAACGTACTACGTAGGTACCACATCTGATGACAGGAGTTGATAGTAAAGTGGTACGGAAACGCAAATTCTGAAATTAGGACAGGCGTGTGGAAATCATGATATTATGTACGTACGTACGTACTGTACGTACGTATGTATATACATACGATTTATAGAATAAAAATTCTTCAAGCCAAAGCTATTTTTCCTATAACTTGCTTACCCCTAACATGAAAAAAGGACAATACTTCTATTAATAAAGGATTACTTACTAAAATTGAATTTTACAAGTCTATGTTAATCGTACGCACTATCAAAAATTTAGTATAATTTCGTATGTATATCCGCCGAATTTGTATTGCAATACAGTATTATTTTACCAGATAAACAGGTAACAGATGATGATATCGTACAACATTAAAAAAATACAATTGCATGAGATCTTATATTAAATAATTTAAGGTTAATAAATATTTTTATTGACAATGTAAAATTTTATTACTGTTATGTATCACAGCCAATTGTATGATTTTATATAATTTGAATGAATATTTACTCATTACGTGATTTGACACTATTTATAACTGATGACTATTTTACAGGAAAGTTTGTTTGCTTGTACGATCCGTACATAAGCACATATATGAAATATCGAAATTTCCAATGTACATCCAAAGCCCTTTAATATAAGCAGCAATTAATTATTCATTTATCACTATGTCAGGGCCTCACAATTTGAATTAAGATTAAAAATTAAACCATTTGATAATTCCTGATAAAGGAAAAAAAAAAACAAAAAGGATTTTACGATGTTTTTAATGTGTTCAATTTTCTTAATCAACTTTATATTGATGAAAAACATAAATTCTCAGCATCATATATGTACGCAATTAAACATGAGAGAAATTATATCAGATATAGAACTACATAATTGCGTACAGACGTACGTACGTACGTACGTACATAATAAATGATATGCGTCATTTGTGTGACCCAATTTAACCACATTATGCGTGAAAAATCTATATCCAATCCTAGTACATTTAATAAATTATAACCCAGAAGTTATTCGGTTATGAATATTTATAAATATTTATTCCTTAAATTTAAATATTTGTATGGGGTAGTGTTTTCAACATAAAATACAATCGGTTCGTTTCATAACGAAAATTAATCAAGATGCTATTTCTTATTATATTAACAAAATTTACCAATTAAATTGTTACTTTACCATGACGAAGCTGGGGTGCAGGATATCAAAAATTGATTCTAAACTGACAAATGTTCATGTGACGACAAATTTGCAAAAAACTAACCATAATTAGAGTTAGGTCCGGAGTTATTTTAGCCGATTAAAATCGGTTTTAACAAAAGTCGGTTTTAATATAAAGCAAGTGACGAGTTCTAATTTAAATTTTGAACGTCACGATTATTATTAGCAGTTCCAGAAGTTCCAATAAGAACGGAAGAAGATTTCAAGGGTAGAGTAGGCGCAGGGATTGAATGTGGCAAAGCATGCATGCTTTGTTTTAAATACCGATGTTGTTTGAAAATATGATGTTTGTAAAATACTGTAGCTATAAATTTTGTGATTTTGTTATCGTTGCACAAAGATGCACTTTGAATTTCTGCGGGGAATTAAGTTCCGTCTGTTTTCAATATTTAGTGATGAGTAACCGATGGATTGAACGATTTGAGATAATAGCAAAAAAAGATAATGATACAGTAATGTAAAAATCCCATAACAGTTCGTTTTGCATCTGTGTGAAAGTCATTTTCACACCGCGAGAATATGAAAACTATACGATAAATTAAAAGTATTTACTATCTTAATTCTTTGCCTTAAATCTCAATTTAATTATCTATTTTAATTCATCTTTTTTTAAATCTTTCATTTAATCATAGTTTATTTGTTCACAAATGTATTATTATTTGTTCTTAAGAGCATAATACTTACATATTTGATCCATTCATTGGCTTAAGCGAGAGATTTACAAACACATTGCACTTCAATTATTCGATACAATGTGTGGAAATATTAAAGTTATGAAAGAAAAAAATAAGATTTGTTAATCATGTTTTAAAAGTTTAATGCGTTTAATAAATTTATTACAAATGTCAATATAAATAGCAATAAATATTAACGTAAATATCAATGTAATGAAAAATAGTATATTTTAGTTATTTCATTATAAAAATGACTAATTGTAAGTGGATCAAGGGATGAACACGATTTGTTCTGCTTAATGAAGATTGCATACAACTAATTAAAAAGGCTGTTTGACATTTAAAGAATATGAAACGTAAATCTTTACATTTCGCCATCGATCTATGCGCATTAATAAACAGTATATCTTTCCCAATTAATTCTCTGACATAGTACTACGTATCAGTTTTTTTTTTTTTAAAACACCATACGTGTGTATGTATGCTTCTTTTCATGTTGTTATATGGTATTGTTCAAGATCAGTTAAATTATGATACGGAAAATCCGCTAGTGATCGAAGCAAATGTACCGGAAAATCCGAGATCGAGATACTACGTACGTACAGTATCGTATGTATCTTATGTACTTACAAAATCAAATATGTTACCTAATTCTTCCGTAAAAATCTTCCGTAAAATTCTTCCGTAAATGATGACATCACTCGTTCAACTGTAAATGCTCAAGTAATCATTGCATTTACAAATTTTATTGATCACAGGTTATTAATGTTACTAGCATATAATCAAATAAATCGATGAGCATACATAACAAACATACTGTATATAATATATGTAATATTCTGTCATTACCTATTTTTTTTTCAATTTCTATGTATTTGATATTTTGATGAAATATACAGTAATATGTATAACCTTTTATTATCATCTTAAGTAGTTTATTGTTATAATTTATATATACGATACATAATGCTATATAAAGACTTTTATCAATGATCATTTTGAATTTTCTACAAATATAATTACTATGATTAATATGTAATACTCAGATTCCTCAAATAGTAAAACAAATTAATTACCTTAAGGGTATTTATTATATAAATTCTAACTTTACGAGAATTTTCAACTCTTTCGGATAAAATTGACGCATCATTACAATGATTGGTACATTTTTGCTTCGATCGTAACCATAAATTGATTAAACATTTGTGTGAATTACTCGAATTATTCCTTTTCGGATAAATTTTAATTGGTCTGGCGTTGAATTAAATCGTAACTTTATTAAATTCCCTGGTTCCAGGAGTTATGCCTATGACATTGTATTCCAGATTTTTCTACCAATCATTTATTTATTTACTTATAAATTTACGTAATTATAAAAATACTTTAATATTACTAATTCTATATATTTATTTTAAAACAATTATTTTTGGACACACATATTTATACATACATATATAAAATTTTTTTCTCGATTCTATAAATTTGCTCGATTTTCCGCTTACAGTTCTCAAAAATTTTTTAAAAAAATTCAATTTAAGAATTTATTTCTTTACGTACCTCCCTTTTCTGAACGATATTACCCTCCATTTCAATTTAATATCTCATTTTTATCAAAATTTATTTAATAACATCTCAATGGGAAACATTAAATCGAAAAAACATAATGATGGTGCATTCTCTAGATCTTTAGATGAGAATGAAGTCGATAGTTACCAAATTATACATAATGTTTTTCGTTCTATATGGAATGGAAACTATATGTCTCCTATCACCCCTATTTTAAAATCTGGTGACGCCAAGGTTTTAGATATTGGGTACGTGCGGCTCTTTTTTTTCATTTAATAAAATTCTGCGTTATTTTTATTTGTTGTGTTTATTAACGATAATTATTATATATTCCTCGAAAAGTTGTGGACCAGGTACTTGGGCGTGTGATATGTCTTCGGATTTTCGAAATTCTACTTTTATTGGAGTAGAAACGCTTCCAATGTTTCCTATTCAAAAACCAAGCAATGTAGAATTTAAACTACATAAAGATTTTACTTCAAGATTTCCATTTGAGGATAACTCTTTCGACTTTATTCATTTAAGATTTTGTTGGTTTTATTTTACTTTTGATCAATGGCGAACGACTGCCATAAAGGAATTAGTTAGATTGTTGAAACCAGGTGGATGGTTAGAAGTATGTTAAATTTCTTTAGAACCGAATTAATATCGAATATAATTTCATATAATTTATATGATTTCGTTTCTCTTAGTTTATCGAGATATCGTTAGATGGCGAAAATTTAGGTCCTGTAACTTTGGATTTTATTACAGACCGTAAGTTGTTTCTTACACTTAAAAAATACATATATATTTTATATATTTAATTTATAATTCATTTATAATATCTAGTAAGAGCACGTGCACAAGACAAAAATCTTGACCCAATGTTAAGTTATCACCTATCAACAATACTAAGTTCTGTGCCAAACCTTTCTTCAGAAGTATATCATGAAATGAGAAAAATTCCGTGTGGTTCATGGGGTGGGAATCTTGGTGTACATCATGAACAAGCTGTAAAAGGTCTTATTTTAAAAAGTATTGAACATTTACCTCATAAAACTTCTCAGAAAATGATAGAACAAATTTTATATGAATTTAAAGATCGTAGAACTTTTTCTTATTGTCATAGGATTTATGTACAGAAATTGGAATTGTAAATAATATTTAAAAAAATTTTAATGTTTATTGGTCATAAAAAAGAATTATCAAAGAATATTAAGTTATAAAAAAAAAAAAAATTTTTTTTAGTCATTACGTAAGTATTATGGCAAAATTTATTAATGATTGGGTTTAATTTTTTCTCTCTTTTTTTATTACCTTTTTTTTTTTGTTTTTTTTTTTTTTTTTTTTTTTTTTTTTTTTTTTTTTTTTTTTTTTTTTTTTTTTTTTTAATAAATATATTTTTTTTTTTTTTTTTTTTAAAAATATT